AATGCCAAAGAATGCTCAAACTACCACACAATTGCATTCATCTCACATGCTAGTAAAGTAATGCTTAAAATTCTCCAAGCCAGACTTCAGCAATACGTGAAGTGTGAACTTCCAGATGTTCAAGCTGGTTTTAGAAAAGACGGAGGAACCAGAGATCAAATTGCCAACATCTGCTGGATCATTGAAAAAGCAAGAGTTCCAGAAAAACATCTATTTCTGCTTTATTGACTATGCTAAAGCCTTCGACTGTGTGGATCACAATAAACTGTGGAAAATTCTGAAAGAGATGGGAATACCAGGCCACCTGACCTACCTCTTGAGAAACCTGTATGCACGTCAGGAAGCAACAGTTAGAACTGGACATGGACCAACAGACTGGTTCCAAATAGAAAAAGGAGTACGTCAAGGCTGTATATTGTCACCCTGCTTATTTAACTTACACGCAGAGTACATCATGAGAAACACTGGGCTGGATGAAGCATAAGCTACAATCAAGATTGCCAGGAGAAATATCAATAACCTCAGATATACAGATGACACCACCCTTATGGCAGAAAGTGAAAAAGAACTAAAGAGCCTCTTGATGAAAGCAAAAAAGAAGTGTGAAAAAGTTGGCTTAAAGCTCAACATTCAGAAAACTAAGATCATGGCATCCAGTCGCATCACTTCATGACAAATAAGATGGGAAACAGTGGAAACAGTGGCTGACTTTATTTTTCTGGGCTCCAAAATCACTGCAGATGGTGATTGCAGCCATGAAATTAAAAGATGCTTACTTCTTGGAAGGAAAGTTATGACAAGTAACAATCACTCTTATGATGGGCTTGACTGTAAATTTGATCCATTCGACCCAGGCATTCGTCTCTTCATACCCTGTCTCAATTTCTAATTTCTAATCTCTTCATACCCTGTCTCAATTGCTAATTTCTGTCCTATCTTTTTACCTCAATTATTTCTATCCTTTTGGGATCATTAATAGAACTAACATGGTTTTCAGAGCTCAGGGTCAGGTCAGTCTCCAATACACGGAAGGTTTTTATTTTCAATGAAGTTAAGAACAAATCACCCCAAGGGGTCTTTCCCAGTGACATCTGTCCCTAACCCATATACCTGAGATGCCACTTTTGGCTCTTAATCTAGGATAGCTGGGTTGTTAACAGTTAAGAGGATAGAGTTGCATTTTAGATTTTGACTGGCTTCTGGTGGAATGCCCTTAGGTGTAGTTTGTCTTTCAAAGGCCTCCAACTAGGAGTTACCCACCCTATGTTTACAGTCCAGTCCTGAAACTGGGTGGTCCACCATACATCATCCCAACTGGGGCAGGGGCTTGCTCTAGTATAAACCAAATCTGGTTCAGGGCAAAGATACTTATCTGCCTGCAACAACTGTCTCTGGTTTTCTAAGTTTCCACAAGGTAAAATTTGGCAGGCATCAAAACTCATAGTCTGAGGTGACAAGGTTTTGGTTATATTGACAACCAACCTGATTGGATAATCAGGGGTTCCTTGTCAATTTCTACTCTAACTTTTTACCTGTTGGTTTCCATACCAGTTTCCAAAGGTGTGGCCACATGGTTAATGGTTATTGTGAAGGGGAGGATTCAGAGGGAAGGATTTAACAAGGATTTCTTAAAGTTACCTTTAAAGGCTGCTCATTGGTCCTTTCCCTTCCCTTTGAGGTCTCTTTTATTTGGCCCCTTGACTCGTGTATAATGAGTACAACCTTTTTCAGCAGTCCATACAGCTGTCTCAGTGGTCAGGAGCACTTGATAAGGGCCTTTCCAGCTTGGTTGGAGTTTGTCTTCTTTCCAGGGTTTGATTAACACCAAGTCACTGGGCTGGAAGTGATGAATTCTACAGGCAGAGTCTGGGCAAGGTGTCCTTTTAATCTGGGGAATGATAAGGTAGAGGAAATGGTCAGTATATAGTTTCTTAGAAATTGGTCTTAGCCCAGGAAGTCTGCCTCCCGGAGTGTGTTTTCCTAATCACCCTCTTGTTAATTTCCTGGCAGGCTACTGTAAACCTGTTTCGCAATGGTGTAAATTCTCAGGCAACCATAATTTCTAAGTACTGTATCATACATAGCCTGGGGGCCCCAATGGGCATTAATTCCCTCATCGTGGGCTTCCTTGTCATTTTCCTTCTGTCAGGTGACACCGATCTTTGGTCTTCAGTTTGGGTGTTTGAGATTAGGTTTAATAGCTTCATTTTCTCCCCTAGAGAGGCTCACTTAGTGGCTTCATCTGTGAGCCTGTTCCCTGTGGCTTCCATAGAATTCCCTTCCTGGTGACCAGTTACATAAGCTATAGTTACCGCATCTGGAAGCAGGAGACTTTCTGCAATTTGTTTAATCAACAGAAGTATTATCAACCTAACGTTGATGGCTCTAAAGTGAAAGTGAAGTCGCTCAGTCGTATCCGACTCTGCGACCCCATGGACTGTAGCCTACCAGGCTCCTCCGTCCATGGGATTTTCCAGGCAAGAGTACTGGAGTGGGTTGCCATTTCCTTCTCCAGGAGATCTTCCCAACCCAGGGATTGAACCTGGGTCTCCTGCATTGTAGGCAGATGCTTTACCATCTGAGCCACCAGGGAAGTCTAAAGACATGTCTATATTAACACTTTATCAGATATTAACTTAATACTGAATATTTTTTTTCGTTTTCATGAATCTAAAATTCTGACCAGTTATTTTTTGTATTTTGAAAATTTAAATAAGCTCTTAATTTTCTCAAGCCAATTAAGTAGTGCTCATTTACAAAATAATTTTGATAACATCATCCACAGGTAAAGCATAATATTACATACCTATAGACAAACAGAGAGAGCTCATAGATTGAAATTTACTAGATTATCTCTAGCTAGCTTTCTTTAACAACTGCCTATGCAGTAAAAGAGCCCATTTTGGCTATTTTTAGGACAAAAATTTTCCTTTAATCCCAAGTAGATACCTGCAAGAATAAGTTTTGTACATGCATAAACCAGGCTGGTGTTAGAGGCTGTTTTCTGATGCCCCATGTTTCTGTGTTTGAGGGATTTTATTTCCCATTTTAAATTGAATTTGTCATGCATAAAATTTACTAGTGAAATTGTGTGGTGGGCCAGTGTGCTGCATGTGAGCTTATCTCCTTCAGGAGTCACCCCAGAGTCGTTTCAGCCCTCTTACGTGTCTCAGTAACTCCCTTCGGCAGTCTAAGAGCACCATGGGTGCTCAGATGGATCAATGGCCAATTCTTATTTGAGACCCCTGGACAAGCAAGTGTTTTAATTAATGAGTGGGTTTCCCTAGGGGACCACAGCCTGAGGACTCGGCCTCCACCATTCCCGGAAATTTCCCAGTCACCTGAGAAAATCATGAGCGGCCGGGAGGAGTAATGTCCCATTTGTCTGGAGCAAAGCTCTCATGTAAAAATCTTCATTTTTATCCAGACAAATTCTAGTTAAGCAACCAAACAGGAAAAGCATCACATCCGCCTCCCACGTAACTACTCAGCATAGATCACTCTGCCTCCCACAACCAGGCAACAGTGGTACCTTTCATCAGAGCCTCACCCAGTGTCTAGTCCTGGCAGGACTACCCTGCCCCAAATCTCAACATCCTCCCCAGTGGACTATGGGGCGGGGATGGCAGAGGGAGAATCCTCATCTCCCCCTTTCTTTGGTTCCCTCGGCCTAGAACATTTATTCCCCATATTCAGCTGGTCCCTATGCCCGAGTTTCCCTGTGCACTCAAGCCCCCCACACTGGAGGCTTCTTGCACACTCTTGAGAATCCCTTTGACCATCTCAGGCCATTTCTCTGGTGGCCCTAGTAGACAAGAACCTCTCCGCCAAAGCAGGAGACTTAAGAGATGCTGGTTTGCTCCCTAGGTGGGAAAGATCCCCTGGAGGAGGGCATGGCAACCCACTCCAGTATCCTTGCCTGGAGAATCCCAAGGACAGGGGATCCTGGTGGGCTACAGTCCATGGGGTCGCAAAGACTCTGACATGACTTAGCATGCACCGCCGTTTTCCTCGGGGAAGAAGGAAACTAAGGATTGGGACTCCATACTCGCTTACATCTCAGTCACACACACTCGACCTCCGAAAATGCCCAACCACCAAGGTTTTGCCTGGTTGCCCCGGTGCCTGCTTTTCTCACCTGTGTAGGTTTCACTGTCTTCCAGACGGTGGGCGATAGCCAGCCCACGTGATCTATGAAGACAGACGCCGATCGGTCCAGGGCCTCGTGGGCATTCGTCCTGGAACGCCCATTCTGACGGTTCAATGAGGTCAGGTCCCCTGCGCTGACTCCCCCGATCAACATCTGAGCCCCGCCCCACCCCCATGAACCTTCCCTTTGGCCAGTGATCTCCAACCTCTGACCTCTATTTCCCCCAACCATTCCCCACCTCTCCACGTGGCCTCAGAAAGTTTGCCTGACGTACTGGTTCCTTAGAAGGGAAATCTGAGGCCTGAGGTGACAAAGGGCGCCCCAAGACCCCCCTCCAGGGTCCCCTACAAACCCCGGGCTTGCGCACGTGAAAAGCCTCACCCCGCCCCAACCCAGGGATTTACCTAGAAGAAGGCCTTTGTTGCGGCGCCCTCCGCTGTCCACGCTCCAGCCTCGGGGGCAGGGCCGGAAAACAATCGGAAAGCAGGGGCTGAAAACCCACTCCGGCCGGGCGGCTGTAAAGAACTTCGGATCCTGCGTTGCTCGCCGCGCGCTCGAGGCTCACTGGGCGAGCGCCCTGCCCTGCCCTGCCCTGCCCTGCCCTGCCCACGCCCCCTCGGTCGGCGGGAAAAGGAGGCGGGGACGGTTAATGCGCAGGCGCGTGCTACGAGCTGGGCCAGAACCGAACTGCTCTCCGGAGCGCGTCTCAGTGCCGGGCTCCGCGCGCAGGCGCTAGCTGCCCGCCTCGCTCGGAGTCGATTTGGAAAGTGCGCACGCGCGGGAGTTTCTGGCAGAAAGCAGACGAGCCCGGGCCGGCGCGGGGCCTTGTGGGAGGGCTTAAGGAAGTAAAATGGCGGACCTGGCGAACGAAGGTAGGGGAGGCGCCGTCTGGGGCCAGCTGGCGGCCAGGGAACGGGCGGCGGGAGGTCCGGGGGCCACAGGCCCGAGGGGTGAGCACTCCGGGTGCGTGGGGCCTGTCTGCTCCGGAAGAGCGGTCCAGCGGGCCTTGCAGCCGCCCCCCATTGCATCCCCTCAGGCCGGGCTCACCCGCCCGACCCATCAGTCCCGGCAGCCCCGGGCCCTTCCACTGTCCGGCCAGACGGCCCGGGAGACGGCGGGGACCGCGATCCTGAGGCCCTACCGCCTCGCAGGCCAGGCCGGGGGCCGAAGGGGGCGGGAGGCACGGCCGCAGCACCTCGACCTCGGATGTAAATAGATCTCGGGGCCTGGTCGCGGGCCCAGCGCGCCACGCTCTCTCCCCGCCCCCTCGTTGTCGGGGACCCGGGCTTCCCTCTTTCCCGGCCTGGCTGCCAAGCCGGCCCACCCCTTAATCCTGTGGCGGTGCCCCACGCCGAGGATTGAGAATGTCAGGTTTGTTTTCCCCCCCACCCTCAACTCAGCCCCTTTCAATTCCCGCCAGTTACCCCGGATCCTTCGTGGCGACCGAGAGTCGCGCCTCATCTGGGCTCCTTGAGGCCCCAGCCGCAGGGTGTGGGCCGCTGAAAGCCGTAGGTGTTTTTCGGCCCTTTTTTTGGTTGCACTTCCAGAGAGAGAGAAGACTGTGTGATCCCCTCCTCTGCGAAGCGCTGACATCCCAGCTGAACGATTTTGACAAGGTTACAGTTCCGAACGGCTCAGAGAAAGCGCGCCATCAGCCGATGTCTGATGAAATCAACTGTGATATTGAGATCGCTCGTAGCTTCAGTACTTTCTGAGGCTTGTTTTTAGCTTCCCCCGTTTCTAGGTGCACAGCTACGGGCAAGCGGTCTGCCTGCCTGGCCCTGGTTCCCCCTCATACCCTGCTCCCTGCTGGCCTGAGGTTTTCCCCGCACAAATGACAATCCTAAGTGCTCACCCTGGTGGAGCATTTGGGGCAGTACCAGGTACTGTTCAGAGTCTTGGGCAGGCAGCTATCTGGAGTTGTCCTCACTCCTCACAGAAGTTCCCAGAGGAAGGTACCATCAGCCCTGGTTGTCGGTGAGGAAACTGAGTTAGAATGGTTAGGTTACTCCTCCAAGGCAGATCACACAGCTAGTAAGGAGCAGGGCTGTGCATCAATGTGGTCTAACTTCATACCCCCCACTTCACCTCTCATCTGTACCACATCTCTTTAATAAGTTAAAGGAGCTGGTGGAGGGTTGAGGCATTCCATTCACAAAATCCATTTAAAGACAGAACGGGCACTGGATAAATGAGAGGCAATAGGACACACCTTATATATTTGCGAGTTTGGCCCGTTCACATTCTTGAACTCAGGGCTCATATTCAACACCTCCGTTTGGATGTCATATCAACCCCTATTTTTCTCCCCCAAATCCACTCACACTGCCAGCTTTCTCCCCTAGTAGTAAATAGCAGGTCCATTGTTTAAAATTGCTGAGGCCAGACACCTTGAAGTCGCTCTTGACGACTTTCTCACATGCTGCATCACATCTTTGTCGGTTCTACCTTCAAAATCTTGCCAGAGAATGACCGCTTCTCACCACCGCTGCTGCCCCTGCTTGGTCCTCCCTGCAGCCTTCACCCATCTGGCAGCTTCTCAACCCAGAAGGCAGACGACCCCCACGCCCCAAGACCTCACTGGCCTCCCCTCCCACCACTCTCTCCCAACTCGCCCTGTTTTAACTACTCCAGCTCTCTCAGCGGCCGGCTCGTGCTCCGTATCCTCCCTCCGTCAGCCTCAGGACCTGCTGGTTCCTCTGCTTGAGGCAGTCTTCCTCCAGTTGTCTGTGTGGCTCGCTCCTGTACCTCCTTCAGGTTCCTCCCCACAAGTTGCTTTATTGAGAACGTCTCCGACCAACTATTGTAAATTTTATCCTCATTCCCTACCCCCTTTACTCCGTTTCCTGTTACCCCACAGCGCTTGCCAGCTACCAGCAGGCTGGGTTGACTTGTCTGACTACCCCTCTTCAAGAATGTAAGTTCCCTGAGGAGCAGGGTTTCTGTCTGTCATTAATGGATCCCACACCCCACCCCGATGTAGAATAGTGTCTGGTGCAGGGTATAGGGATCCAGGGAATGTTTGTTGAATGAACGAGTGAGGTGTACCTGTGAGCGCAAAGGGAAAATTATGGACTCCGGTTATCCAGGGACACCATTTCTAGCATAGGTGCTGGCACATGATCTGTCACTTGCATAGCTGAACTGATCAGTGTATAAAATAGAGACAGTGGGACGTTTGGTAAAAAAGTTTTTGCCTAGTAAATGCCACACTCATCTAGTACTTTGCCTCTGACACTAGTTCTGGCCTAGCTATGCTCAAAAAAATAAAATCCTAGTGGCCTTTTCTGCCTCCCATATCTCTACCGTCCTTTAGTTGGTTGTCATGTGTTCCTGGACTCTATTTCTGGTTTTGGCTTGTGCAGCCCGCCAGCATGTTTCGTTTCTCATCCTCTGTGAACGAGGACTTCCTTTCCTGTGCATTGTGAAGCTTAGGGGACTGCCCAGCACGTGTGCTTTCCCACTTGTCCTTGAAGCTCACACGCCCTCTTGGCTTCTGTCTTTCTAGACCGGGATCCTAAGCAGACTCATCCTTACTCCTGGGCATCTGTAGAGACAGAAAGCAGCACACGTGACCCTGCTGTGCAACAAGGGTTGAGACCTGCCAGCCTGAGTAGCACAGTGCTGGTGAGGAGGGCCATGCTTGTGTGGAGAGAAGCATTTCCAGATGTGTGTCAAGTTCCACGTCTTACTGGCTCTCATTGCCATGGTGATCTCTTCAGGGATGGTGACAGCCGCTCCCACAACCATTGCTGGTAGTCCCGTAGTCTGTGACTTTAAAGTCCCGTTGGAATGTTTCCTAGGAGAGAGAGAGAGTGTGTGTGTGTTTGAGTGTGTGGCGGGGGGGGGGGGGGTACACTTGTGTCCTGGGATCTTCTACTCGGCACTTCACTGTTGACACATCCCAAAGTCGTTAACCATCTTGTCTCTGGAGTTATTCTGCCCGGTAGACTGGCATCAGGATGTGAAAGCAGCATTTGGTTTCTGGTGAAGGTGAAGAAGGTGAGCAGAGCGTATTGGAGCTGTAGGAGACCTTGGATTCTAGATCCCCGCCTTAAAAAATTTGATACCTTGTACACATGACGCCTTGCTGGCCTGCAGAGACACAAGGTAGAAACCCGAGAGATGGTACGAAGCAGGCTTCTCAGCTTTGGTCCTCTTGACATGTTGAACCAGATGAGTCTCTGTTGAGGGGCTGTCCTCTGCTGTGTAGGATGTTGAGCATCCCAGCAGCATCTCTGACCACACATGCGGTGCTGGTAGCACACTCCCTCCCTTGTGCCCCTGCCCCAGGGGTCGTGGCTATCAGGAGTGTCTTCGGACATGGTGTGTCACCCTCAGCTGAGACCTGTGATGTGACGTGATGGTGGACCCCAGTCTTTGCCTTGGAACTGGGCTTGTGCTTTGACTCCGCCTGTCCTCTCTGAGTGACTTTGGGCAACTCCTTAACCGCTTTGAGCGTCAGTTTCCTCACCTGTAAAATGAGGATAATGGTGATTGTATCTATCACACAGTTGCTCTGAGCCCTGGCTGAATTAATACATATGAATGATTTAGCGCCTATCTCAGCCCAGTGATAAACAGTCAGGAAATGGCAGCTATTTTTACTGTGAAGGACTTATGTTATAGACACATTTAGCTGAAGTGCTCAAGGCAAAGCCAGAAAGAGCACGAAGCGAGTCTGAACGAGATGGCCTTGGGGCACACCCAGGACGGGATGCAGCCAGAGCTGGGCTGTCCGTCCTCTTTGGTTCTGTCTTGACTTTGATCACATGATCATCTAGCCATGGGCCCCCAGCCTGGGCACTCTGGGCGTTTGGGACCAGAGCGTTCTCTACTCTGGTGCTCCGCTGGGTCTCCTAGGATGTTGACCTGTTTCCCTGGCCTCCACCTCCCGCTGTCATGGCAACCATAAACGTCCAGACATTGCTCAGTGTCCGCTGGTTGCGGGGGTAGGGGGGATTCCCATAGTTGCTCCCCATTGAGAACCCCTGAGCTGGCCTGACGAGATAGCAGTCCAGAGATTTTCAAGGGTGATTTGTCTTTCTTCAGTGCTCACCTGACTTGTTTTTTGCCTTTTGTTTGTTTGCCTTTTGGCCATGAGGTGCAGCATGTGGGATATTAGTTCCCTGACCAGGGATTGAACCCATCTCCCCTACAGTGGAAGCTCAGTCTTAACCACTGGACTGCCAGGGAAGTCCCTCACCTTGTTGATTTCAACCCTAACCCCTGAGAGGATGAGATGCTGCCGAGTGTTTATTGATGCGCTTGAACTCCAATGGTTGGAGTTGTTCGTTCACTTGATTCTCACCACCCCCTTGCCCTGCCCTCAACTTAATACTTAGGATAAGTGAGAAGCAGTTTTTCAGAGTTTTATGAACTTAAACAATAAACATTAACCTTGAGGTTTGCCCTGCAGAATGTACATTGAACTCTCCCGTGCCTCTCACCTAAGGCAGATTAGCGCTGAGGGTGCCATGCCTTTGTATACTTGGAAGAAAATTTTAAGTTTTGCCTGAGATCCTGTGTACAGACAAAACATGCTTGTAGTTCTTTTAAGTTTAAAATTTTTCCACCGTATCTTCAGCCTGCCTCTCAGTTACTGGAAAACAGACTCACCCAGCAGTCCCACTATGGTTGTTTAGTCACTAAGTTGTGTCCAACTCTTTACAACCCCATCGACTATAGCCCGCTAGGCTCCTCTGTCCATGGGATTTCCCAGGCAAGAACACTGGAGTATATTGCCATTTCCTCCTCGGGTATCTTCCTAACCTAGGGATCAAAACCAAATCTCCTGTATTGACAGGCGGATTCTTTCGCACTGCGCCACCATTTCCCACGAGCATCGCTGGGTATAGGACAGGGCGGGCTC